CCATATACTTATATACATACAAACCCATCAATCAAACCACTCCATGTCCCTAATTTCCCTTCTTCATATTACTCCTCTTAGGCCTCTGTTGCTTAGCAGCCTGACAAAGCTCCCTCTGCTCCTCGGGCACCTCCAATCCAACAACCTTCCCAACCTCGAAATACTTCTGATGATTCCGGAAGAAATTCTCCCAATGCTGCACCTGCTTCTGCACACTCGTGCGAGCAAGCCGGCGATCCTGCTCGCGCCGGATCTTCTTCTCCCCACTGCTCAGCGTCTTCAGCTCCGCCTCCTCATCAAGCGGCATGAACATCTCCTCAACACCCCGCAGGTCATGCGTCTGGTCCTCCTGGAAACAGCCCGTGACGAACGCGCGCGTGGCATCCTTCCCCGTAAAGAAATTGTAGTGTCCGCCCGGGCCGTACACGAGCGGGTTCGCGGAGACGTCGAACACAGAGCCATTGATGGCGAGGTAGATGGGGAGAGCCGAGTCGGAGCCGTTGTAGAGGGCGAGTTGCTCGGGCGTGAGGCTCAGAGGTCCTTGCTGTCGCGACTCATTAGCTAACTTGAAACCATATTCCACCAATCAAGACTCAACCCGGGCGGCTGATCCAACGCAAGTATAGAAGCGAATGCCAAACATACCAAGTACCGGACCAACACCGGCCATCTAGTGAACCACGGCCTGTAGCCCCATAGCACGGACTCCGTCGACGTCATGTAGTAGGATAAGCCGCATGATGCGACGATCAGTGTGACCACCACGCGGATGATGTCGAGGACGCTGAGGCCGGTCTTCTTCTCATGGCGAGACTTGGTCTTCTGGGCGTTCTGTTTGGGTGTAGATGGTTCGTTGTTGCTAGCGGGGACCTGTCGCTGGCGGAGGGAGGACATGGTCGCTTTCACCTTTTTTGTCGGGTAGAGTTTGGTTTGATTTGGTCTAATTAAGATGTCATGGAGGTTATGGTTATGGTTGGGTTGGGTTTGGGAGGTTTATGAGTGCTGGGCAGTTGGGGAGTGCAGTCCTGAGGCTAATTTCCGTGGATTCTCCGCTTCTGTTTCGGGTGGTGAGATGACAACGTGACAACTTGTTCTGTATGCTATATTAAATCTATCGGTGTTTTGGGATAATTTCAGCGGAGATTTCGAGTTTTGATTTTTGCTGTTTTTGAACTCCATATTCGTGTGGTAATGGGAAATCTACCGGGGATGCATATTGGCAAATTTACGGATTTAGAAATTGAAGATATAGTGTCTCAAAAAATAATTTTATTCATTCCGTTATATATTGCGAAGCACTATAGCTGAAGCAGAGCCTAATGGAATCTCCCAAGCTCCAAGACTCTTCGACGGCAAGACCGACCAGCAGTCTACCAGCAAACTGAAACTCCTAGCTCTTCAAACCAATAGTCCCACCCTCATATGCACTCAATCGAACAAGAACCTAGAGAATACTAAATGCATGTCAGCCACAATCCCAAACATGCATATGAGATAAAAAATCAAGCTGTATGACAGAATCTCTCAGACATCCAAGGAAGTATTGCGCACAGAGCACGTCTAGATTGGGTTCTAGCGACGGCTAGCGTGGAAACTGCGAATGTGGGAAAAATTTTCATCATCGAGAAAGGGGGATGGGATTGAATGTGTGCTGTTGGGTATCATAAAACTGCTTGGACTTACCATTGCATTAGTGAAACTGAGGTTGGTCGTTGATGTGTCATGTTAACATGCTGCTTTCAAGCTTCATTATGCTTGAGTGAGTGACCAAAAGGTCAACTCATGAGTATGTGTGTTGCACGGTTGAGTTGAGGAAAGAGAAGAAAAAATTGGAGAGGAGCTCGTTTTATGCTTCAAGAAAAAAGAAAAATTCGCGCTAGTGCCAAGCGTGGACCCGCTGCTTGGTGCCTTGGTGCCTCAGCTACGTACAGCCATGTTGCGCCCATGAAGGGTGTCAGCCAGTAAAGGGGAGGCAAATACTAATCTATCTCTTGATATCATGTTCATCAAGCAAGATCTTTTATTCACGAGGCAACACTTCGCAGTTAAAGTATAATACAGCTTTACAAGTCAAATAAAGTAATGAAGTTTCGACACAGAAACTGGTATTGCACTTAAGATACTAAGATACGAGGTGCTAAACTAGGCAAATAGTGAACTACTACTCCGTAGATGTTCCAACGCCATAGCAGAAACATTTTTGATATCAGTTATTCGAGCTTGGCTCGCCATGCTCCGTCACTTGACCCTGCTCGGACCCTTCCTGGTCCTGTTCCCAGCTGCGAGAAAAGACATCATTGAGGGCCTCCTGGAAAGTGCGGCAATTCATGTCAATCAACCCCTTCTTCTCCTTCGCTTCAGGATTGCGTATGACAGACACAAGACAAAGGTATCTAGTCGGGTCAGCGAGTTCTCCTAACCAGTTAAAAGCAAAATCGAGGCATACTTGTTCATTTCCATCAAGTGGATCATGGTCTCGTCGTGCAGAACCACATGGCTCTCTGCCTCATGATTTTGTTCGCCTTTTGGCTTGCGGTCGGGGTGGTCCCATGAGTAGAGTTCTGAGATGTCCACGATCACATCGATATAGTCCGAGCACATTTCATAGCAGGACATATCAACTGGGCGAGTATCAGACGCAATGTAGATCTTGCTGAGAACATCAAACAGATAGGTCTTCTCAAATCCACAATTATTGCCGAGTGTGTTGATTAGGTTCTCCAGAGTCGATAGATTTGGGATCAGCTTCTGGATCACCTTGCTAAAGGCCTCAAAGACGGAGTAATCATAGATAGACGTGAGGTAGTAGTGAACAGGCGCATTTTCATATCCAGCATCACTAAGTTCATCTGAGATGAGCTGTACGATATCCTGGAATGTATCGGTGCGGTATTCTTCCGAGAGCCCATCAACCTTGTGAATGAAGACTTCGATGTTGATGTTAGGGTAGTACTGCTGGACAGTCAAGATGGTTCGATTCAGGCGTGCGACCGAGTCCAGGTAGTCATCCTGTGCATCAATGACCCACACGAGTGCTCCAAGGCTTCCGAAAATGTCTTCAAGATCGAAAGATGGCTCCAGGTACTCAAGCTGACCAGGAAAGTCCCAAACCTGGAAGTCCATGAACGAACTTCGATAGACCATAAGCATGGATGCTTTTCTCATGTTAGAAGGATGTACTTACTGGATGGAATCCTTCTGAATGCGAGTAGTTGATTCCAGAAAGAGTGTTTCGTTAGGAGGCATCTTGTGGAAAACGACACTAGCGATCGATGATTTCCCACTCCTGTTCCATGGTCAATAAAGCCCTGATCATGCCTGAGAGATAACTTTACCGTCGGAGACCCATCAACAACAGACGGGGTTTGGCATCTTGAGGTTTGCCGGTGGAAACCTGCCCCGGCTTCGCCTGCGCGTTATGTCCTGCCGGCTAGGTAGCGTGTTAGCAACCCACAGCTCCCTCGTACTAGTCCTCCAAGTTTCTTGTATCTTGTGCAAGCATTTTCAGGGCTCGTTCACGTAGCCACAGAATGAGTGATCCGAGACACTGCAAGCTAGAAGTCACTGAAAACCCTGCTGCAAAGTGGTACTTGGTACGTAAGAGGTAATAACACAGCTTCGTCCCAACAAACAATAGCACAAGGCAGAATCATACAGCAAGTCCAGGACATGATACATAAAGAAAGATTCCACAAAAAAAAGGAACAGCAAAGGAACTGTATCTCTTACCTCCATATGTTCAACTCTTTGTTTGTCAAACACTAATCAAGGGCCCAGATAAAGGAAGAGCTTTTATGGTGAGTCAGTTAGCATGGACTGACGCAGGGTGGATGAAGCAGGATAGATTCGATCCGGAAGGCAACAACATACGAGTGGAATGGGAACTTACAGTGCTGATGTTTCAAGATTCGCAGTGAATTAACCAGCCACTCCCAGGGACGCACCACACTTGAGTGCCCAGTAACAAAGAAGAGCACGCAATTTCCACAGGCTACTGTGCAGATGGGATATCCAGAGAACTGATCAGGGGAGAGAGAAGACACATTTATTTCAAGACAGGTTACTTGTGTGGATGGCACCAGAGCTAGAGAACTGTTGTTCAGTAGGTCTTTAAAAACTCATGGTTAAAAGTAGTAGAGCCGAGTCAAGGAAGATAGAGTCGCGAGGATAACACGCAAATGCTCGAACTTCGAGCATACACAGGCAGTTAGAGGTATACGACTACCAGCATATATGGGTTTGATTGGCAGGGCAAGGGGAATGCGGAAACTCCTGCCGGTGTGGGGTGTTTTTTAGACTGGCCGGAAGCTCCTGAACAAATACCGCAGACTGGCAGCGAACTAGGGAACCCGTCGAGCTAGCTTCCTATCCACGAGAGATTATCTATGTGAGTCAACGGCGAAAACTCCGGAAGTTGGAGGTTGGGGAAGATGCTCGCAGTGCGTTTCTTGCGATAAGACCGACTGTCCGAGTCTTGGCACGATTGGTCAATGGATCCTTCCGCCTTTGTGCCTACGCGATGTCGTACCTTGTTCACCACCTCCATCTCGAGTTTCTTTCTCGTGGAATTGTACATGTATTGAGGTTCCGTATAGCTGTAGAGCCCGTAGACCTAGGTTCTCTGGTATATGCATTAACAACCATCTCTAAACGCAAGTGGGGTACCCCCGTTAGAATGGGAACGCTGACAGCCGTTGAGTGGAGTTCAATATATATACTAGTGGTTCCTCAGAGCATATCACTTGAATGTATCGAAGTAGAGCCCTCAGCATAAACACTGGATTATGCAGTAGAAACCTGTCTGAAGATGACAGTCTCTCTAGCAAATTGCTCAGAAAAAACCCAAAGAGAACATTATTGAACATTGAACAATGAGCGGGGAAAGGTAGTTATCATCCTTCCTGGACCAGAGGCAAGTCGCAGGAAGAGCTCTACCACTAGCTAACCATTTACCCCAATTGACATACATTCGACTCCTTGGTATCTACAGCGCAACATCTAGGGTTCCTGTTCATCACTTGATAGACCAGCTGATCTGCACGTGGATAAGAACAACCGCCGTCAACAGGTGACGCCAGCTTCACCGCTGATTGGGCCATCCTTGCCGCCCACCGCCTTCTGGCGTCATCAACGGACAGATGGCCGAGTCACCGACTCTCGTCCTACCTTGAGAAGTAAACTGCTTCGTCCAGAGTCGTTCGTTACGCTCCTGTGGCAGCCCCCCATGACCTCTTTAAATTTTCGCGAACCCTACTCCCAGGAGGAGCTCGAGAAGCTCTATCCGAAAGATTTGAAGCTTCAATTGGTCCAGGTGGTACGTACCAGACGAGATATCGGATTTGGAGTGCACCTGAGTTTGTACTAACTCTACTATAGTTCCTTCGCCATGGTAGGGTGGTTCAACGATGCTTCAATGGCTAGAGCACTTGTTCAGTTGACTGACTGGTTTCAGGCGAACGCACTCCGGTATCTTCTCGGTTTCAGAATGTATGAAGCTAACCATATGCCTCCAATTTATAATGTGATACAACTACTAAACCCATGAAGGCAGGCCTGGCTGAATGTAAATGCTCTCAATCACACCCAGTTGTTTTCTATACCATCGCAGACTGACCGACTGTTTTACCCGCGAAGATTGGCCGTACTGCAGTGTTGTGCGTCGAATGACCCAAATGGCCGCTAGCAACCAGGACCTCTCACAGTGGAAGGGCTTCGAATGGCGGAAAAAGACGGAGGCATTCGGCGATAGAGATGAGGCGGTGGTTGCGGTGGGTGCGACAGGTGATATTGAAGGCATCTGGTAAGTCGCAATGCAATATACGGGATGGCTGGTGAGAGCGAGGTTCCTGACGAGTGGCCCGCAACAATAGCCAACACGGCGAATTGACAGACAG